CTTGTGATTGGGGTTGAGAATTATGCCGCCTGTATCACCAATTCCCGAAATTGGAGCTGCCACAGTGGAGCCACGGCTGCTGGTGGTGTTCGTGGATTTGCAGAAGAGAGGATTCCTACTTGTCCACAGCTTGATGGCTTGCGCCGAGGCAGTCCAAGAAGACAATCTCAAGCTCGCCGACACGCTGGTGAAGCACACAGGGTTGTTAGCGATGTCGCAAGCCGCTGCGATGAGAATGCTTGCAAACTACTTCGCTCAAGCCTAGCTCGGAGAATCTACAAAATTTACCCTCATCGTAGCATCAGCGCCTTCGCCGGAATCGCATCATCATTCCGGATCCTTAGTTTCTCGTCACCAAGCATAATGATACATGGTTTACGTATGAACAAAAAGGGTGTTAAAGTCTTTTAACTATCGTAAGGGCTTTTTTGTCATTTAATGAAAAGAAATCCATCACGTGACATGCAGGGGTTTAAAATTTAATCTCCGATTGCCGGATTGGGTAAATTTTAACCAATAAGATAGTTTAAGGGGATTTTCTGTTAATTTAGAAATTTAAAGAAATTTTGTGCTCATTTGGATATAACTGAGGGAGATTTATTGCACTTTACCCTAAATTCTATTAAGTTTAGTTTTTCTTCCGAAGGATGAACAAAAATTCGATCACATATGCATGTGCAAAAATTTCCTCTCTTTGAGTAAGCAGTTAAGAGGTTTCACACGTAGATAGTGCCCAATACGGGCTCCGCAAAGTATTGAAGGCGAGAGAAATATCAAATGGTCAAAGAAGCCCTATTAAATACTCAGGTTTTTTTTAATTGGGACCACAATGATCAAAACCTTTGGTATGCGTTACATAATATTTATATCTATATCCATGTGTCAATAATTTTAAATTATCGTTAAAAATAAATAAATAATAAAATAAGTTATCTTAAAGTTACCAGTTAAATATGTTAAAGTGTTCGTGTAAAATATGTATTATTATTATTATTATTATTTATGTCTAATGAACTCCAATCTGTAAAATTATTCTGTATTTTAGAGCATTTAAAATATATTTTGATATAAATATATACAACCATGTATAATGTGTAAATTTTTTGTGAGTTTGTTAAGATACATCATCACATCATCAATATGTAAATTATTGTATATTTTAATCAACTTTTTTATACAGCCATATCAACATATTTCTTTTCTATTCACTCTTTATCATTCCCTTTCTACTCCCTCTTTATCATTCCATTAACAAATTAAATGCTACATTAAGTAGGTTTGTAAAAATTATGCGAGGTTACAATGGTTGGTTATTATTGGGGGATATATTTATCAAAAAAAAATTTGTTGGAGGTAAAAAATAAATAATCCAATTTCTTTTTTATAAAACTATTATGACAAATCATATTTACAAAATATATATATATAAACGCGTTGAGAAATGACAGATGTATAGAACCTTTTCAACGAGATAGTGCTTTTTCAACTCTCTCAAAATGGAATTTATTCCGAACATATATGACATGGTTCCTTACTTCAACAGGTACAAATATTTAAATATTAAAATTTTAGATACTTTTTCAGACCTATTGCTAATACTAAGTAGCAGTCAACGATCGGAGATGCTCTAAACTATAAATAAAAATAAAAATATAAGTTAATCATTATAAGTTATAAATAAATAAATAATAAAATACAAACATAAGTTACCAATTAAAACATAAACATAAGTTACCATAAAATTATATATTATATATCAACTATAAAGTAATAAATAGTAATGTCCAAAACCCTAACAAAACCCTAATTTCCGATTGAGAAGAAAGTACCGGAGGAACAGGAGGCAACTAATCGATTGAGGATGGGGTAAGACATTGTTTCTGGTTACAAGTTATTTACGAAAAACTTAATCTGAATCTGCAACACTTGATCACTCTTTTTAAGATACGGTCTCATTCAATTTTCTCATCAATTGTCATTAATTATTATTTTTATTTCTAATGAAACATTTGTTTACGATATTGATGCTCAAGTATTCTTTATTATATTAAAAGAACTTGTGTTTTCATTTTTTTTTTTTTTAATTTTGAGAAGTAGTATTGAATAAAATTAATTTTTAGACTGATTTAACTTATTTGAGAAAGAATTAGAGAACAAAGTTTAAACGAATTTAGCTAATTAATTATTATTTATTGATGTCTTACAAAGAATCCTAATTGAAACTTGATAAAAAGATAAATATTGTACTAATTTGCATATAATAATAAAAATAATTTACATCAATTCACAAAAAATATTAATAATTTACATCACTTCCTTCTATTCCTGGAATTTGTATTACTAAATTTTTTTAGAATATAAAAATAAAATTAAAAATATTTTACTGTTAGTCTCCACCGTTCAAGGAACATTTTTGGATAAATTATACTGGCCTCGCATGGGGTTCCCTTTTCAACAAATCTTGGAGGAAAAATTAGAGTAATTTGACAAACAAGACTCAATATATATAGACGAAATTTCAAAGGAGATCAATATAATTTACTCTTAATTATTTAGGGTAAGTATTATTTATTTATTTTATTTATTTTTCTTTTTCACAGTTGTACTCCATTGACAGTGTTGTTATTGCTTACTATATGAAATTATGAAACTTAACGCGTTTGGCATCATGGAATCTGAATCTAAACTGACATTAGGCTATAAAGTAGATTAGTGAACTACCTACTTCAAATCATTGATTGATTTTGCGTCATCAACCATTATTTAAATAGCTTAATAAGTCTTAACTTGTGATTTTGAACAATTTTAACACTCTAGACATTTTTTATAATCTTTTTTTTTTTTTAATCTTCATAATTAATTATTGCTTACTATATGAATTATGAAACACACCAAGACTGCGTTTGACACAATGGAATCTGAATCTAAACTGACATTAGGTGAAAAATATATTGGTGAACTAACCACCCACTTCAAATCATTGATTTTGTGTCATCAATCACAATTTAACTATTTATTAGCTGAATAAGTCTCAACTTATTATTTGATTTTATCACTTTTGACTTTTTTTAAAAAATATTATTGTTTATAATCTTAGTTTTTTTTATTTACATAATTAATTATTGAATTTTGACTAGGTCTATTTTTTTTAATGCCATGTTGTGATATTTTAACATTGTGTCACAAGTCGCTGGTAAAGTCATTTGAATTCTTGACCTTCAATATTCTCATAATATGAGCAAGAGTTGTAACCTAAGTGTACCTCTCTCACATTTTGTCTCAAAATTTATACTAATCAAAATCTAATGATCGAAAAATATTATGACATCGCTTATTAAACTGCTCCAATTTTTGTTCCTGTGCCCATGTTTAAAATGTGTGAGAAGAAAGTATTAAATACTCGAGCTATCGAGTATATAAGGATCTGCTTGGTTTGTAATTTTAAAAATAACTTTTTAAAAACAAAAAATTGAAAATAAAAAATTGTACAAAATTTTTTGCTTGTTCAATTTTTTGAAAACTATTTTCTGAAAATTTAGTTATAAAAAGGTCTGTTTTCACAAAACTGTATTTTTTTGTTCTCTGAAAACTGTTTTATATTATCTGAATTTTTAAAAACTGTCCCGATTACATGTCATGTACTATAAAGTATTGAAATTTTTTCCTTTGTTTGACATGAATTTCATTACTTCTCATTAATGTTGGCATGTCATATGGCCTAAAATTCACCCTAGATGGACCAATACATGAGATCAGGCAAAGTTACATTCAACATTTAATGTGCTTATTGATAACATGTTAATCAAATGACATAATGACAGTTTTAGTGTTATTTGAATGGTTGGGTTACTTTCGGCATTTGAGAGCTCGTGTTTGAATCCTACTCTTTCCATTAATCCCTAACATTTCTGCCTTAAAAAGAAAAAAACTAGAGCCTTATGTGAACCAAATATTTTGAATGCCCTATTTAAACAAAAGTGATAAATTCCCCTTAATTTTTGGGAAGAATAAAGATCCCATTTAACTCTAATTAAGATATTGTTGACTTGGTTTAATTGACCGAAAATTGCTCCATCATTATAAACACCCAAAATAAATTTGAGTCCTATAACAATATAAACACAAAGTTACTACTAATTACCAGCTAGTTATTACTAGTACTTCTTTTCCTTTCCCCATTTTGGAAAATTTATCACACTATTTACATTTTAGGCACAAGTCAATACTCATTTGACTTACTTTGAAAAAGGGCAAAAATAAATAAATAAAAACTGTCGACTTTCCATTAAGAAAATGATTTTCTATTCCTTTTTTTTTTCTATCCTCATTTATAGTTTTATTTATTTTCCTTTTATTCTCTTAACTATGTAAGATAGTAGAAGATGAAAATTTCAAAATCACCCCAATTTCCATTATTTTCCACAATTATTTTTTTGTTAGTTTTTTATTCTCCATTATTTTTTCAAGAACAAACAACATTTGAAAATCCTAGATTGGGTTAATATTCACAATTACTTGGAAATGCAACATTGATATTTTTCTAGTTCTAAAATAGGATGGTTTGAGTCTGTTTTTACGAAAGTGTGAATTTCTTGTGTGTGTGTATATATATATTGACATTAAAAAAAGTCTTTTTCATTTTATAAAAAAAAAAAAATTGGGTGTGAAAACATTTGTTCTTTCGTATTTTCGTTTAGTAGAATATAAACGTAAAAAAAAATTATATTGAGCAAGAACAACAACCTCTCTGATTTTTAGGGCTCTTGATTATCAATAATCATTGATTTTTTTACCATAAAAATAAATAAATTACTAAAATTACTAAAACACCCTTGCTCAGTGAACTGCACGCGCAGTTAAAAGTAAAATCTTTGCGGAGATAATCCTCCAATCACGTGGGAGTGTAGTGCTTTGTTTCCATGGCAGCTTCACTTTTTTTACCGCTTCGTATACAGAGCCCAAATTTTAAATATTCCTTATTATAATAGTGACCAATTCAGTCTCGCACAAACACCACGCTCTCTCCAAGCTCTCGCTCCTCCACTCGCACTACCACCATCTCTCTCTAAAAAGTCGCGATCAAACCCCCTCTCTAGTCTCTCCTCTAAAAGCACCACCTCTCGAACCAGTCGCCATTAGCGCTCTCCCTCTCTCCCTCTACTTTCTCTCTCTAAAACGGCTGCTTCTGTTCACACTCTCTGTCTACTTCACCAACGCATATCCAGTTCTTCTTAGTTTTCTGTTGATTGTTATTAGACAGTTTTGGTTGATTAGGGTTTATGGTGATTGAATGGTGTTGTTGAAAACTCGGAATCGTCTATGAGGAGAACTCAATCGCATTCAACTTCATTTTCTCTCTCTACATTTGATTTCTCTCTCTGAAAGTGTTTGCAGAGAGGGAGATAAGGGAGTGTTCGATTTCGTTCACTCAAATCTCACTGTTCGAGTTCGATTTTCGGAATGGAGAAGAAACAAGGCTTTTTCTCGGCTCTGAAGGAGGAGGTAGTTCGGGGATTATCGCCGGCGAGGTTACGCGGTAATAGTCCGGCGAGGTCACGGTCGCCGATGGCGGCGTTACTTGGTCGGAGGAAGAACCGCCAGCTGACGAGTCCTGAGGCGTTGATCGCGAGATCCGGAAGCTTGAGGCCTGTAGGGGAGGTTTTGGCCCCTCTGATGGAGGGTCCGGATCCGGACGGAGGCGAAGTCGGGGATTCGAAGCGGGTTGGCTCGGGCTTAGGGCAGTGGGTGAAGGGACAGCTGTCTAGGACTCCGTCGGTGGCTTCGAATGCTTGCAAGCGATCTGATATGAGGCTTTTGCTGGCTGTGATGGGTGCTCCACTCGCCCCGGTGCACGTTAGCACCAATGACCCTCTGCCTCACCTAAGCATTAAGGACACTCCCATTGTGAGTCTCTCTCTCTCTCTCTCTCTCTCTCTCTCTCTCTCTCTAACTTATTTTTATGTTTTTAGCAAATTTCTGTCTTCTGTTTGATTTTTTGTACTGATTCTAGTGATGTAATGACGCAAATCGGAATGAAAAATACTTGGTTACCTTGCAGGTATAGAATACATTTTTTTTTTTTCCATTCATTTTCTTTGTATTGTTTGGTTTTTAAAAACTTTTCCATTTTGTTTGACTGTTTAGATTTAATTAACTAGTTTTGCTTATTTTTCTTAAGGTTTAATGAATCATTAGGTGTACCATACCTGTATTTCAAATCAGCTGTATTAGCTTAATCGATTGAAAAGTTTTTATTTTTATTTTTGTTTATTTTATTGTAATTTTTTATGTTTATGTAGTCTTCTTTTTCCATTTCCTCACTAATTAAAAAAAAAAAAATAGGATTTAATTTTTTGGTTTCTTTTCTTTTCGCTATGTTTTAGCAGAACCAAGTCTCTGGTGTTTTGGGTTGGTAAAAATAATTGAATTGCAGTTTGGGGGAATGGAATTGGATGAGTGTTGCAATTAACCCAAGTATTTTAGCTGTCACAAAACTGACATATATAGTGAAGTTCTTTTACCACATTTGTATAGATCATTGCAAGGTTTTTAAAATGGTTGCAAGGATACCCTTAACAATAAATGATGCGCTATCCAGGTCCTGGGCGACTAGTGTTATGGACCTAAAGAAAAAGCTGCTTGAATGATATTTTTTTTTTTGTTTTTCATTGCTCAAATATTCCAAATTGTACCAATCTGCATGATTCAAACTTGAAATCCAGTCAATATGGATTCCCGTTCTTGTACAGGAGAGGAGTGGGAAAACAAAAGGCAGGTTTTAGGTTGTTAACAAGAAGTGAAGTTGAAAAAGAGAATAATAAGGTTTGTAAAGCTCACTAGTTAAAACTGCTCTTACGCAAGCCATGTCAATGTGCTAGCCATAGGAACAATGTCTCAGCCCATGAAGGATTCTTTCCCTGATGTACCATGATGTGATTAACTGATGCGATGATAGACCATATTTTTGTTGCTTCTTTATTGGTTTATCATCTTATTAGTAATATGGTTGAAAAAAAATTGAAATTCAGTCTGTTCTACTGTGGTGGTGTTGCAGGAAACTTCATCTGCGCAATACATCTTGCAGCAATACACTGCGGCATCTGGAGGGCAAAAAGTGCAGAACTCTATTCGCAACGCTTACGCCATGGGAAAGGTGAGGATGGTAGCTTCCGAGATTGAAACTGCCGCAGGGGTAGTGAAGAATCGGACTGCTGCAAGAGCTGCTGAATCTGGTGGATTTGTGCTCTGGCGGATGAATCCAGACATGTGGTACTTGGAGCTTGCCGTGGGGGGAAGCAAGGTTCATGCAGGCTGCAATGGCAAGCTTGTCTGGAGGCACACGCCATGGCTCGGTGCCCATGCTGCTAAAGGACCTGTTAGACCTTTAAGACGTGCCCTTCAGGTAACACTTTGTTCATAATGTCATCTGCTCAAATTGATTCTTCTTATACCACTCCTCTGATCATCTCCAGATATGGTCTCTGTTTTTTTATAGGGTCTTGACCCAAGAGCCACTGCCAGTATGTTTACGGATGCTAGGTGTATTGGAGAGAAGAATATCAATGGTGAAGATTGCTTCATTCTCAAACTCTGTGCTGATCCTCAGACCTTGAAGGCAAGGAGTGAAGGCCCCGCGGAGATCATAAGACATGCTTTGTTTGGCTACTTCAGCCAGAAGACTGGACTTCTTGTTCACATGGAGGATTCCCATTTGACTCGTATTCAATCCAATGGTGGTGATGCAGTTTATTGGGAGACGACTATCAATTCATTCCTTGAAGATTACAGGCCTGTTGAAGGACTCATGATTGCTCACTCTGGGCATTCCGTGGTGACCCTTTTTAGGTTCGGAGAGAGAGCAATGAGCCATTCCAAAACAAGGATGGAAGAAGCTTGGACAATCGAAGAGGTTGCCTTCAACGTACCTGGCCTCTCATTAGATTGTTTCATTCCCCCAGCTGACTTAAGATCTGGGTCCATCAGTGAAGCCTGTGAACTCCCTCAAGATGAAAGGGTAAAGAGCGCGATTGCCCTTGCATCCCATCGGGCCAAGGTGGCAGCACTCGAGAAGGAAGATGACAGTAGCAACAATAACAGGGTTTGGAAGTTGGAAGTCTAACAAAGGTTGGGATAAAATTAAGTCAACTGTTCATAGACTAGGTAGTTTTAATGGACTAACACGACGTTATAGAAGTTACAATGTTGGAGCCATTGACGAATTTTAGGACTTAGGTTGTGCTTCTACTAATCTGTAAATAGAGTATAATCATTCACTGGTCCTACCTGGACCTTGATAAATATTTATACTCTCAACGCCGAGTCCAACTACGGAGTTGGAGCTCATTTTTCCCAATGACGGGGGCAAATGGAGGTTTGTTTTTATTTTACCTTCCATGCATGGAGGAAAGTGGCGAAGCTTCGCCATTGATCTTTTTATGTGATTCGACTGATTATCTTGCCTAGATGTAGTGGTGCCAAGAACACGCTGTTACATGGGTTTGACATGACCGTCTTGGTTATCTGATTCTACTATGTTTTGGTGGTGGTTTTAGTTTTGGTGTGGTTTTTTAATTGATGTTATGGTTTTTCTGGATCTGGCAAGGAGAAAGGGATTCCTCTAGATCTGATGCAACCGGGCAGAGTAAGAGAGAAGATAAAACACTCTTTGGTCCCTTTTTACTTTAACCCTAATGTGTTTTGATATGTTTTTTCTTTTTTCTGATGTTATTGTGGCACTTTGTCAGTTTTGCTGAGAAAAAGATGTAGTGAACAGAACATTGTGTCGCTCAGATATTGAATGCTTATGAATAAAAGAGATGAGCATCTTCCTTAATTTGTTTCTTTTTGGTGTTTGTAAATTGTACATCTCAATCTCCTTGAATGTTGACATCTTCTCTGATAGGATTTTGAGCAACAGACCTTATGTGCCCCCCATTATCTATTGAAGGGCTCTGTTGCAATATTGTTCTTTATTTTTCAATTTTTGGATTTTAGCTCAATCTAGGTATATTAATTATTGTAAATCTCTTGAAGTTAGTACAACTTTTATTCTGTGAATTGTTACATTTGTACATTGGTATCTATTCGAATACTGTGGTTTTGACTCTAGCTTGTGTGTCATTTTATCTCATGTGTTGTGCTCTGTGCCCATGCATGGCAACAGTTTGAGGAGATTCGGATTCAATGACACTGCCAGGGATTAAGAGATTCTGATTCGATGACACTGCTAGGGATTAAGGACCGAGGCACATGATCTAGTACCGGAGGGGATCCGGATTTGGTGGTGGTGCTGTTGGCATTGAGCTTGACAGCATTTTTAGGGCTAGGGCTAGTTGGAAAGTTCAGTAGGAGGGTGCCTTTGGTTCTTTTTCTTCATGAGTCATGACTGGTCTCTTCTGCAACTTTTGGAAGGTGGACATAGGTTGGTTTGCAAGTGGGGTCCAAGTGGGGTTTGAGGCCAAAGTGGTGTGAGAAATATGACTAGATCATGTCATGTGGTGGTGAAAATCTCCTGGTCTACCCAAACACCATGTGGTAACTAACACACCTTATCTCTCTACTTTTTCAATGTTATCTTTGGTCAGGCACTAGTCATCTCTTTTGCAGAATTGGTCTTCCCCAAGTCTACCTCAACCCAAGGCCTTTTTTTTTTTTTTTTAATCTTTGTAACAGCTGATGTAGGGAACCTTCCACCTCATGTGGATGTCTCTTTACCTGTCAAAATCTTTATTGTTATTATTAGACTTTTGTTGGGGGTATAAATGCATTTGTATTAATCTCTCCTATAGGTTTTACACACACATATATATATGGGATGTGACATTGATACTCTTTACTTGCTGAATAGTAAAGTTACTCTATTGCAACTTGAAAGTCTGTTCGAAACATAAAACGCATCCCTCCAAATGTGAAAGTAAAACCGAGAATCTTCTTTATACCTTATAGCTTGAGTATCATTTGATGTGTGTGATATAGGTCAGGAGTGAATATTTGAGAGAGT